CCATAGAAAATACAAAGTACCCATAGAAAATAAAAGTACACACAGAAAAAACAAGTACCCATAGAAAATAAAAGTAACCCATAGAAAATACAAAGTACCCATAGAAAATACAAAGTACCCATAGAAAATAAAAGTGGAATAAAAAATACTAAGTGTACTTATGGGCCTTCGTACTACAGTACTTCTGTACTCATGATTTGGCCATTGAACTCTTATTTTGAAGGAAGCAAGTTCTAACAATTACTAGTTTGGTTAATTTGATTTTCTTTTCTGGTTTTATATTTTCAAGCCCAAATTAAAAACAAGAAGCCATAGGCGACAATTCTCCGTGAAGTATTATATATTGCAACAAAAAGAAGTAGCCATTGGCGACAATTCTCTGTGAAGTGTGATAAATCGAACAAAGAAAAAATTGTTTAAACGCGCGTCGGCTCAGTCATCTTAAGACGCAACAACCAATCAGAGATGCGAGATGCCTACACGTGACGCGGGAAGGGCGCGCGATGCCCGAAATATTTTTGCGTCAATATTCAGCGCCGTGATTCAAGAGATTAATACCCGGAAACAATTTTTTTCTTGTTTTGAACGCATTAACATGCATTTACGCTAATCTAGTATGATTCAGGGTTACTTTTTTTTTAACCTGCCATGGCCAGATTATCTAAAGATGTGTGTATTGTGTGTACAATCTATAGAAAGAGAAATGTACATCAGGTCCGATCATCCGATTTTCACGTTTCGGTTTTTTGGACTCGGTTCATGAACGTATTTTGGTTTGGCTCCTGGAATGTGCAAAAAAATGACTCCCGGGACTGTCTACAGGGAACACTCGCACATTCGCGGTGTATCAGGACAGCGCGACTGGTCGTCATTAGCGCAGTAACAGTTGCATAAACGGACGAAACCATTTCAAAGAAATGGGGATGTTTCGAAAATAAGCATTTACTCCAATATCAAAACAGCTACGGTAAAAATAAAAAGACGTGCATCATCCCGGACATAATGCAACACCACATGCGAAATTACACAGAAATGCGACGTACGGGGGAATGCGTTTTGGCTGCGAACATCTTCCAAAAAACTTGGCATCTCTTAACCATGGGCAAAAACATCTGGAACCACTTATAAAAACCACCCCGTATCTGCATGAACTTTTTTGAACCCCACTGCTATTCCAAACAACGCGTTTTTCTGGACCATTCCAATTCGCCTCGTAATTGTAGGGGTGCGTCTGCGATATTACATTGACCGCGAAAGCAGCAACGGCAAAAACACACATTCGTGCATCAACACGGGCATGCCCGCAGACGGCGTATAAAATTGCGTGCCGATTACACAAAGAGAACCCAGTGTTTTGACTGCGAACATGAAAAATCAGCCGATTACAACACTCCGTCCGGAGGTCCTGACCTCCTTCACGGAGTAATAACTTAACCGTTTCTACCTTCTTATTCAGAACCTATCTTCAATATGCTGCTTAACTATACTAGTACAGTAAGAGAAAGAAATGTAAATGTATACTGTATCTTACCTCCCCAAGTCATCGAACACCTCCGGCAGTAGGTAGTGTAGGAGAGACCAGAGTTCAGCCAGGTTGTTCTGTAGGGGAGTTCCTGTCAGCAGGATCTTGTTGGCTGTAGGGATCTTCTTTATCTCCCTGAAATGATAATTCATTTTTACTGATTGCTGGTAACCTCTTACGGATTTCAAATTTCAATGCTCTCGTCTAACAAAAGATTTTCTAACTGCAAATATGTTAAAATGCAGCCTACACTGCTAAAGTTACTGTCAAACTGTGCCATTCTCACTGAAAAGAACTGTACACACTAAATATTTTATTTCATACTTAGATAAAATGCAACCATTTTAATAAAGGACACATGTCTTATATTTTAATTTCAAATTCTTGTTGTTGTAGAAAAGTTGTAGAAAAATTTCTTTTTTAAGTTTTAGGAAAAATATTTCTGTAGCAACTACTAGAAAGGAAAAAGTACTGTATGGTAGCATTTGTAAATCTTGAACTTTTAGCAGCATTTTTTTTGTGGGTTTCATGACACTGGGAACATGTCTCCATTGTAAATCTACTTTACTACAAAATCCTTTAAAAGGTGAATATTGAAAACACTGCAAAAACCTCCTTTTCCTTCCTACCCCAAAACAAAAGCACTGCCAGGGCTCGAAATTCATTCTTGGGAATAGGTGCACTGGAGTACCCAAACTATAAAATTGGGTGCACAAAAATTTTTGGGGGTGCACCATATAATATAGAATAACTAGAGTGTCTGCAATAACTAATTATCCTTCATTTTTAAAGAAAAATATTACAACGATGATTTATTTTTTACCTGACACTTAGATGCTAAGAATATGCTGTATACTACTATAGATTTAACATCTTTACATACATAAACCTACAAAAATATTTGGGTGCACCAGAAAAAAATTGGGTGCACAGCTCCAAATTTAGGTGCACTGGGGTTCAGTATTTTGAGCCCTGACTGCTATTAAAGTAAGCAAACTTGATGCTCCTGACCTGATGAGTCTACAGTTGAGGTTCTTGATACGATGTCCCTCGTCCACGATGATGTACTTCCAGTGGTGGACCGCCAGGAAGCGACTGTCTCGCATCGTGATCTCGTAGGACGTGATGACTATGGGATGGACGCCCAGCTCACCATGTACCCTGGTGGGAGGAAACAGTACAAATAATTAATATGGTTCAAACTGTATTTAGAGTTGAGCTTTTCTGCTAACTTAAATTTTACCTCTGTGTGTGGAGGTTTCGTTTTGGGTGTGTTTGTACAGTAGAGCCACATGTACATTTTGTAGTAAAGAGCAAAATGGTGTAACTACAGACTAACAAAAAGGACAAATTGGTCAAAATGGTTTCCCACAGGCTGGGAGAAGATGACAAAATACATAATTGACTATAATGAATGAAAACTTCACGGTTAGTGAAGGTATAATTTTTTCAAAAATATTATCTCACTGTATGACACTAAATAACTACCTATCTAGGAATCACACGTCTAAATTACAAATAGTCACTTTTAATAGATTAATGTGTTGTTTAGGGTTATACTTATCTCACCTGAAGATCTTGCGGCGAAGCTTGGTGCGCTGTGCCTGAGTGCCGTGGTAGATGAGAACTGGGACCTGTTTATAACATATAAATCAGAATTCTACAGTCAAAAAGTGCGTGGTTGGTAAAACTTCCAAAGCCAAAGCCACTAGTTAGAACTTACATATATTTTGTAAATAAACAGAATAATAAACATCCTGTACACATAGTTCTTGTTTGAAATAAACTTACATCTGGGCCGTTACAAAATGGAAATATGGAATTTTCTACCATTTTTTTTTCTCTGCAGTAGGCATTTGTTATAGCAAACATTAGAAGTTAAGGTAATTTGGTTGAGAATTTGTAAGGTAATTTGGTTGAGAATTTGTAAGTAATTTGGTTGAGAATTAAAAAGTTTAACAGCTACAACATAACTACAGTCTGAAAGCAGACAAAAACGCAACACTAACCTTAGGACTGAATCTGCGGAACTCAGAGTACCAGTTGGACAGGGTAGAGAGCGGTGCTACGATCATGAACGGTCCGATCATCCCCTCACCGATCAGCTCTGCAAACAGGGCGATACACTGCACAGTCTTTCCCAGGCCCATCTCATCTGCCAGGATGCCGTTCACTCCATTCTCATAGAGAACCTGTTAACCATAAATAAATACTGTGAGCAAACAATAACTAGTTTTTCCACCTAATGCAGTGCTTAAATTTATTGTCTGAATTACAAACCAGCCTACCTCATGGCTCCTGTTATAGTATTTGGGGCTCTCATAAGATGCCTACATGTGTAGGCCTTTTTTTTCCACGTCATGTTAAATTTTTTCCTAAAAACATCCAAGTACCAGCAAATCAAATGGTTTCTGAAATGTTTTTAGTACTTCCCATACTTCTCAAGCCCAAGCAGTGCAGGTAAAATTTGTCTTGTGCAGGTAAGCATGCAGAAAAAAGGATTTTGAGCCCTGCTTACCTTCATCCAGTCCATGCCTTGTAGCTGGTACTCCCTCAGCACCCCTCCACTGAACAGCTCAGGCTGTCTGTCTGACACAGGCTTTCCATCAATGACTCTGTGGAAGGTGTCTGTTGGCTTCTCCTTCTCCATGATCTGCACTATGGAACGAGGAACGGTCGTTTCTTCTGGTGCCTCCGGAACGACTTTTTCTTCTCCTATCTTCTGTTTCTTCTTCTCCAGCTCTTCTTTACTGATGTAATCGGCCAGGCAGTACTCTGAGTCGTCTTCTCGTTTTCTCTTCTTGGCCTGTTTGCCATCTTCTGAAAAACCTGCTTCTTCTGGTTCTGTCTTTACTTTGGCTGCCGCTTTGCTTCGTCCTGGAGACTTGGGTGTAGATTTGACGGGGCTGCGACTGTCCTGGCCGCGTCTGTCGCTGCGGCGGACACTACCTTCCTTCCCCCCGGCCTCCTTTTGTCGTTTCTTCTCCTCCTGCTTCTCTAACCGTTTCCTGCGAGCTTCCGCCTTCCGCTTGGCCTCCTCTGCCTGCCTCTCCATCCGCTTGAGGAGGAACTCAGTGTAGGTGTTGCTCTTCTTCAGCAGATGGGTAAGTCGAGACAACCTGGACAACAAAAGTGGCAAGGTGGTCTTGTGGTTAGGGTTGTTGACATATATGTGTAGAATCTGAAGGTTATGGGTTCGAATCCCTGGCAACTATAGTGGCAAGCCCCTCTTTTGTGCCCTTGGGAAAGGCACCTTACACCTATTTCCTCACTTGATTCAGGTGTAAATGAGTACCTAGCTTTGGTTAGCCCTTAAGGATGTCCTCTCGAATGGGATGTAAAGCTGGAGGTCCCATGTTTGAGGGGAGCCACACCTTGAGCACATTAAAGATCCCACCACAATTATCAAAAAGAGCAGGGGTTATTCCCAGTGTGAGTGGTTTGAACCTTACAGTCTGGTCTTACGCAGCTTGTACTTAACTGTACAAAACTGGTCTGTTACGCCAAAACGTGGTTTAACGGTTATGCGAAACAAACAAACAGACAAACAAACCTCTGTTCCTTCAGACTCTTGTCCCACTGCTCCCTGGCTCTCTCCATCCTTTCTTTCTCCTCCTCCTCCAGTTCTTTGTGCAGTTTCTCTTCCTCTTCCAGCATGGCGGCTGTAATGAGGTCAGGCGCACCATTCTTGTTTTCCGTCCCCTTCGGGTCAGAATGGGACGATCCAGCCGAGGACTCTTCTACACCTTTGGCTACCTCCTCAACTGTAAGGATGGTACAAGTCAAAATTAGGATTTTACTCCTCTGGTGGATAAAAAAGCTTTAGAACTCACTTTGAGCCTCACCAATTATATCTTCATCAATATCATCACTGATTTATTTTTTGCCAAAAGCACTACTACTAGTACTAGTATTTTGTCTAGAGGCAAAACCTCACTACAAGTTTTAGAATAGAGAAAACATTTATGTACCATGTCTTTGTTTCTTTCTGGCTTTTGCCATTACTCCTAGTAGACCTGCCACACTGTTATACAACCATTTTATCATTACAATTGTCAGCCTTCAAATACATGTACATGTACCATAGCTTCTTTCCAAAACTTGAATTTAGAACAGTAGTTCTAAGTGTTTCATGATCATGAAAACATTTTGTAATTATAGTATTCCTTTGTTACAAACTGTTCTGGAACAATAGAAAACAAACAAGAATATACACAAGAAAACTGTTACTCAAGCAACTGGAAAGGTTTTGAAAACTGTCAGACGTTTCAAGTACCATCAACTACTTTGGTTAGTGACTGAAACTGATGAAATTTAGTGGATGCTACTTGAAACATCTAACAGTTTTCAAAACCTATCCAATTGAGTACCAATTTCCTTGTGTATCTCATTACCTGGATGTGTAACCTTCATCAACAAAAACAAGAACATAGAATGTTGTAATCATTGCATAATGTAGAAATTCACACTTATATGTATAATGTACTATTGGAAACTGTCAGGTTGGTTCAGAAGTTCTAGCAAACTTGATAAATGATACAGTACTACATTGTACTTACCTGGTTTAGGGCTGGATGGTTCACTGCCAGTTGTCCCTGGCTCTGGGCTTGCTCTCTGATATTCCCTCATCTCTGCACTTCTGATGTTCTCCTTTGTTCCTGCTTCTGATAATGGTGGACTACAGCCAACAACTTTGGAGGGTTTCTGAGCAGAGTTACTCTCTGGGTGCTGAGGATAGTTTGGAGAGTTCTCAAAACTCTGGAAGGATGATGTAAGATCAGATACAGCAGAAGTAAAAGAATTGTCCACAGAAATGTTTTCTTCACTTAAACCTAAGGCCAGCTTCTGTTCACTCAATGTAGGTTTTTCTGTTGTGGTACAAACTGATCCTGTTTCAGAGTGTTTCAATGGAGTGGGTAAGCCGTTGGTCAGTGGTTGTAGCACACGACTGTCCTTTATACAACTATCAGAATCCTTGTCTGAAACCTTTCCAGAAGTTTCTTTTGTACTCTCGTAGGCTTCTTCTGGTCTTGAGTTCTCAGTTTCTAGGTCAGGAGATCTTGTACTGGCAGTATCAAGCTGAAGAGCCCTGTTTTTACTGGAAGACAATTCTGGTTGGAATATGATGGCTTTGTCTTCTAGCTCTGTTGAGACTGCAGTGGACTTCGGGCTTGACTTTTTGGGCGGAGCCTCTTCAAGCAATATGTTTGGTTTCACTCCAGAACTGATGGGAAAATAGACATACATAATTAGCAGCTTAAGGCAAACAGGAGCTTTGCATGCAGTGGTAATCTAATTAAGTGCTTACAAACTCCGCAAGTGTTGTTTGTGTCAAAGAGACCAAACACATTAACTTAGGATTGACCATGCAGGGCTCCTTATACAATGCTTGTCTGTCAATCTGCCTTTAAACAAATTGACTAGTCAAATTCATTAGCTGTTTACAAAGTTACAGGTTGGTGCATTTTGCTAGCCTGGTTGCTGTCCTTTGTAGTTTACCACTGGCTCCCCTGTGACGGTTTACTAAGGAGGATAGCAGCCAGACTAATGTAGTAAAAGTCCTTGATTTTTCTATATTTGTGACTGTGTGAGCTTATCCAGAAACTGTTTCGCACTCTGCCTACATGACAAAATGTGACAAAAAAAGCTGGTAAAATCAGAACATCCCTCCTACCTTCTCAATGACTCCTTCTTCTCCACTCTCAGAAGACAGATGTCTAAGTGGCTGTCAATGTTCCTCTGTGGTATAGCACAACTACAGACTGGACACTCCACTAGAAACAGATGTATGTCAAGATACCAATATGTATTAGTTGCACATTGTACAAACTATTAACACAATGCAGACCAGTTAATAGCCAGACTAACAAATAAATCAAATCTGAACCTTGGGTTTTTCTACAAAATATTTCAGCTTATCTCCTGGGGCCAACAGGTTGAAGAACCTTAGACAAAAGAAAAACTTATCAATTGTTAGTTATTACAATATAAAGAAAAAAAGGGTGCAACCGGTAGTGCATTTTTAACTGAAATGAGGGAAGATAAATGTTTTCAGAAACCAGTTTTTGAAATCGATGAAAATACCCAAATAACTGATACAGTTAATATTTCACAACCCACAATCTTTCAACAGTAGAGATTTTTTTTTTTCGCAACATTTCATAACTCAACACCTGTCCTGAACTGAGCAAACTGAAGTGAACCGAACACTGACCAACAACAACTGCACAGCTCCATACTCTCGCTTGTCTAAAATGTTTGCCAAAGCAGAAATGTTGACTCAAAACTGAACCGTAGCACATACTCTCCAAGCAGAGGTTGGTAGAGAAGATTGTGACCTTATTATCATATGCCACGTCGCTACTTCATCCTTGGTGTGATAGATATGATAGAAAGGTCACAATCTTCTCCACTAACCTCTGCTTGGATAGTAGTTTCAAAGCTTCCAGCCTGGTCCAGAAGTGGATATTTTTTCAACCTTATTAGATTATGAGCTGTGCAGGTCAGATACCTGTCTGTGGAACATTTCTCCCTTTCCTGCCTCTTTCCTTCCCCGTTTCCTTGTCTATCTGTCTACCCACGACTGTAGACATGTTCCTACTGTCTTCCTGGACATCAGAGCTACCTGCCATGTCTGTGTTTTCCCTAACACAGGACCCCCTGGAAGGGACTGTCTTCAACTGCTTGCCTCTTTTGACCATGGTGCAGGTTATTTCTACATGTGTACGAATGACATGAATAGAATGAATGTGAGAATAACTAAAGAAGAAGTTAAAATTACGTTAGGTGGCAGACGTTAGGAGAATTAGGAACAAAGTAAGAATTAGGCGCTTATAATGTGCCGTTACTGTAAATTTTGTTCTGAAAGTCAAATATCTCAATTCAAGTCTGCCATTATTCAAATTTCAGCATACTCTATTCAACATCAGTCTTTGTGTTGTGCGATTTTTGAAGGCCTGTAATAGTGTAAAGTTAACACTATAATTAATAGGTGTGATGATAAATAAACCTTTAGCAAACGTTATTTAGCAAACGTTATTTCAGAAATAAAGAGATGACATGACGGTTGGGGCCTTGGGGGGAAACATTTTTTCCGAGGCTTCTGATCATGAATATACATAATTTGTAACTGCCGCTTATGCAAGTTTGGTTACGTCACTGTGAAGTGGTGATCTTTACACAACGCATGGCTATGAGAAAAATTGTGTGGAAAATTGTCAATTTACCTTCCTAAGAGCACAATGGTTCCACAAGGAAAAGATGCAAGCCCAGATGAATGATCTACAATGTACCTTTGCACTAGTTCAGTCCTTTGACAGACGACAGGTTTACATAACGCTGTGTACACGTGAGAAGTGCGTACCCTCCCCCCAAAACGTGACTACCAGTTTTTCGCGATCTACAAGAGAAATATAGCACTACTACTCAAGTCTTTTTCACATGACACAGTAGGAGTGTTATCTAGCAAGCAGACATCACGAAATTACCCGAAACTTTAGGCAAATTTTCCATAACTGACGAGGAAATTTCAAAACAAACCGGCTAGCGCGGGAAACTGGACGATAATTTGCATACATACTGAGTGGCGTTCATCAACACAAAGCTCGCTGAAAACAGTTATTTGGCTTCATACTAAATCTAGCAGCTTCCCCATAGTTTACTCAACGTTTCAAGCACAAAATGGCACACAGACGGATGTATATTACTGCGAGAAATACAAAGGAAGACGGCGGTAATACCTTGCACGGCTTCGGACAGCTCCCGGCTTGGCGCGCTTTGCAGTGACGCGTAACCTCTGCTGACCCAGATCAGGTGGGCAATTTTCCCGCGAAAAGCCGGGCGGAACCACTAGCATTGGAGGGATAATTATGGATTGTTGTTTTTTTGGAAAATGCTGTTTTGGACTAGTCGAGTGCATAAGTATAAATCATATCTAGCAATTATGCTGTTATAAAAGGGCTATCATAAAGGTTTTGTTCAATAGTTAAAAAATAACTAATATAATATTACCGATTCGAATATTGGACTAACCTAATTATGCAGAGGCTGTGGTGAAGAAAAATCATATAAGATATTTAGGGGAGGACTAAACGAGACGACTTTCGTGAGGGTCATAAAAGAGAAGTTTACATCATGAGAGTACGAATTTATCGTCATGCAATTTCTGGACCCAAAGCTGTGTAAATGTACCATCAATCAAGCAGTTATGCGGATTGTGCTTTCCCCCTGCCTTGCCCTCAGCCACCGGTACTTTCCTGGTGGATGGTTGCCTCTTCCAGGCACCGCGGAGCGCTGAAAAATAGTATAAATTGGCCAAAATAAAGGGAATAGATACCAGTGTAGTTTAGCCGGCCAGAGAGTATTCATTTTACGGCAAAATGTACCCGGTCTGGCGGACCACTGCCCCGGCAGGTTATCTCAAATTTCTACTCTTTAGTCTTTGCATCCTCCTTCTGAAGCCTGATAGAGGCTACTGGTATTCTTTGCAGTTCATGGAGATGTCGCTTGATGCATAACTAACTTAGCATCTCCATGAACTGCAAAGAATAAAATGTGGCTCGCAAATTCAAATTCCACAGACGGTGAATTTGCATATGTATTAAAATACCATAGCCTTGGGGTCATTGAACGGGTGTGTCAAAAAGAGTACTGTACGTCACCTCGAGCTATATTTGGATCATATTATGATCTCATTTTCTTTTTACAGATGAAAATATCTGTGAGTCTTAATTTTCGGTCGCTAGGACAAAAATAAAGACAGTATAATAGAAGAGAGATCGCCGCGATACGCTTCAGTCAGAGAAACATTCGCCAAGCGACAGTCAGTTTTGAACCACTGTGACGTTCGATTAATTGCAAGTACCCAGACCGTCCCGCACACAGGCTGCTTGCTAGGGACGAATCTACTATCAAGAAGTTGGCCGAAAACTTAACCGAAGAAACATCAAGCATTCTTGGCAACATATATACAAGTGAAGGTATGTGTTTTAGCACGATATATAACTCAACTCAAGAAGCTTTCAATATGGACTGGGCATGTTGGAGAGGGTGGTATATCCATGTTTCTCTCAGTACCCGTTTACTTATTACATATCCATATTCTCTGTCACATATACCTACGTTATCAGTTTCAAGTAGAGATAGAAACTTAGTTTAGCATGGCGTAGAACTTCAAGTTAGTATGTGGTTTATACCATTCCTCAATCACATCCTGTACTCAATGTTCTTGTCAATATCTATTTGCAATTTGCCCTGGGGCATGTTGTTGATATTATAGTCATGATATTGAATTGAAATCTTATCAGTATCAGCCCCCCTGAAGTCGCTCAATAGTAAATATTTTATCAAAAATGGTCAGCCAGATGTATCTGTAAATGGTCCTATTTGTCAACAGGTCGTTTCGTCGTCACTCTGCAGTCGTACGGTTGCACGATAGGCGGCGTTGCACCTGTCCCGTTGACTTCGCACTCGCTTTGAGGTGATGCCTTGTTGTAAGTGTCGCTCAAGAGTGCAAACAACATTACATCATTCCGATAAGATTACGCAACGTGCTTCTCTGTGTTAAGGCACGTGTGCCTTACCATGTCAAAGGCCAGTTTGCCCTACATTTTCAACAAGATAAATGACAGGAAATCCAAACGGGAAACTGAGATCCATTTCTTTGCTTGTCGACAACGTGTATGGTTGCCTTTTCTGCCGAATTGATGGATGAAAAAGTTTTCATGATTCATCATTTGACTTTGAGACCTCTCGGTCGTTGCCCGGACGCAGACTTTGTTCAGGCAGTGGGTCACAGGATATCACTTGACAAAAGTGAAACTGTTTACACAATGATATAAACCATCCGTGGGGTTAGCCTCCTTCGCAGACTTGTTGGTGGGAGGCGTTAACTTTTTTTTTTCGGTGAGCGACGCGAGTTATGCCGCCGAGGGAGTCCCTCGATCCGTGGGATAACTCGCGTCGCTCACCGGAAAAAAAATAACGCCGCCGCCCTAATCTCCAAGCAGATCTTTTGGTGGCCAAAAAAGATAGTATCCAACACGCGGACAGTATCCAGCCGGCCGACAGTATCCAATTGGCCACCGAAGGCTGTCAGAAAAAAACGGGGCATTGAAAAAGGTCACAATCTTCCCATTCAACCTCTGCTTGGAGAGTACCGCCGCCCCACAAGTCTGCGAAGGAGGCTATCGCATGGTCGAGGTGGGTATCATAACCTACACAGAAGCACAAAACTTCATATAAAATATGTTACATATAATATATGACCACTTTACATAAAAATGATATGGCAGACACGATTTTACAGTGAAAATAACATCTAGAGCTGAAGATTTTTTTTCAGATGATGCATACATGAACCATATATCTGATAGACAATAGAGGTCCCTTCCTATGACTTCTGTTGACCATTGGAGGTCGATATATAATATCGATGTAACGTCAGTGTAAGGGTAGTAGGAGCAAGGGTAGGTTTCATTCCCCCCTGAAAAGCAAGAACAATAGAGGAACTAAAACAAATATCCGCTTCCACGAAATCGTCCACATGGGAGCTATAAATGTCCTCTTCACAGCTTGAAGGTAAACATGGTGTCAACGCGGATCTTTTGTAAGGGTCATATATAATGATAACCATCATTCTGCAAACTTGAACCTGGCGACTTCTGGTACCAAACCCTTGTCGTGGTTTCACCTTTGTTTCACCGTGATGGTAAACTCGATAAGGAGTGCTCTTGTTCTTCTTGTGCCTCAGATGGTGGCATATTTATTAGTACCCCATGCCTGTAGCCCCCCCCCCCCCACCGCCCCCGGCCCGCCCCACACACACCCACACCCACGGCCACACACCCACCCACACCCACACACACCTACCTCCCCACACACACAAGATTTAAAGGCCCACTTTTTATCTAAAGGTCCAAAATTTTTCTTTAAAAGATGGACTGATTCGTATCACCAGCGGGGCTGAAATCGTAGAAAGACTGCTCACTTTGTCATTGAATGAAAAGTTATGTCTGATTTTTCCTTTGAAAACCTCTCAAACGCCATTTCAGAATGATCAATTTTCACAATTTTCCGGGGGAGCATTCTCCCTGTTCCTCAAGCAGTGGGAAGAACCCCCTACCTAGCAAGCAACTAGGTAGGTTTCAAAATAGCTTTCAATTTCCTTGTGAGTAGCTTGTCGCATATTTCCTCATTGACCACAACGAAATGCCGTCGTCCAATTTTGGTCAGTTGAGTCAGCATTGACATATCTGTTCCTTTATTTCAACAATAACTGTAAAACGAGAAGTTGAATTAATATAACGATAGTTAGTTTCTTTTGTATCCGTTCATCTTGTTTTCTTGTGACCTGTACTTAGCCAAGCGTGGCAAAAATGTGCAATAAAGGTCTTCATTTATTCATTCATTGATCCATAACACTTATCAACCAGCTAACAAAGGATTCTGACAAACCGACAGTTGAACAGTTTGCTAACAGTCTGCGCGTTCAGCTGACTTGTCGGCACCAGGGACATTTTAATCGCCTGTATGAATGATAGATATGTTAACCTTTGATGGCTTGGCGTGTTTACCGAACATGTCAAAAAGTTCACCCTTTGTGATGTAATCTGCGTAGTCATCAGCTATGTAGAGCAAAGTTAAAATCAATGGGTTAATTGTAAGTCAACAACGCGCCTTACTGTAGTACTAAGGCCGGAGTCAGACCACATAGATGGCCACGTGCAGGGAAGTGAACATTAGACTGACCTCCAGATGAACTTTTAAGTGAGGTCCATGTACGTGCCATGCATTTTGCATTGTCATCATCCTCTCATATTGCCACACTTTTCTCATGCAGTTTCTTCTTTTCCTTCTAACCTCAAATCTTTAATAGTTTTAATTCTTTTTAAACCGGCAGCTTTTTATACTTTCCTAACCTGTAACTCTGTACCGTACGAATGTGACGAATAAAATCATTATACATGTATCAAGGACATTATACATTGTACAATGTCTCTGCATGTATGTATCTCTCCCTGATGTTAAATAACGGAGTCCCCTCAGTCTTCACTGCACAAAAACACCTTTAATAATTCCGTTTCTTCCGTTTCTTCTTCCGTTTCTTCTTTTAACTGTACCTTAACGAATGCTTTAAGATGGGATTTTCTGCAGTGCATGCTACTGTCTGCTCAAATACACATATTTTAAAGTGCGCCCAAACAAACGGGACATAAACATAGACCATGAGGGATGCAACAGTCTCAGCCTATCAAGTAGGATAGTTGTGGGGTCGTGTGGCGTAGCGGTAGAGTGCTCGACTCGGAACCAAGAGGTCCCGGGTTCGAGTCCTGACATGCCACCGATCTTGCGCCTTTGGGAAAGGCATTTTACACTTCGCTCAGGTGAAAATGAGTATTGTCATGTCCCTGTGTTGGTGGCGGCATCTTCTCTCCACGGCAAAAACTCCCACGGCAGCAAAATCGTCCCTCCGCGGCATAATACTCGCGTCGCTCACAGAAAAACAAATAACGCCGCCGCCCAACAAGTCTGCGAAGGAGGCTATATGCCGTCTCCACGTCTTGTGATTACATGTTTTAATATACAAAGTCTTAAGTCGTCTTTAAACCTCTTGTGAAAAGTAGGACAGCTGAAAGCACGTGCATGTCAAACGAATGAGTTAATTGTA